TGCTCCTTTCCTCATGGATTTGCACAATYGTCTTTGCACAAGGGGTGGAACGAGAGGAAACGGCCCCTGAGTTGTGCCAGGGTGGATGTCAGGGAGAATTCCCACCTGGAAAAGGCTSTCCASCCCAGGGCAKTGGGGGAGTCCCCATTCCTGGRGGGATTTCRGAGTGGATGTGGCACTTGGGGACATGGGAAAGCCAGGCTGTTGTGAAAAATCGGGATTTAGCGCCAAAGAATCACAAAAAGGAAAAGAAGTGGGGAATGCTGGGAGAGCACTGGGAGCACTGGGATGGGGCTGGGACACCCAGGGAGGGCAGGAGTGGCACAGCAGGGCTGGGGAAACTTCTCTGGAGCAGCTGAGAACTTCACCCCATAAATGTGGGAACTTCACAATTTACCCTTTGCGGCACACAATTCACCCTTTGCAGTGCACAAATTCCATTTCCACAGACAAATCCCAGCAGGAAATCCATCTCAATGCCCCATTACTGACCCCGCTCTCTCCCCGTYCCCCAGTGCCCCCCAACCTGACCGTCCCCCAGGAGAAGTCGCCGCTGGTGACGCGGGAAGGGGACACCATCGAGCTGCAGTGCCAGGTGACGGGCAAGCCCAAACCCATCATCCTGTGGTCACGGGCCGACAAAGAGGTGGCCATGCCCGATGGGGCCCTGCAGAGCGAAAGCTACGACGGGATCCTGCGCATCGTCAACGTGTCGCGGGAAATGACCGGCACCTACCGCTGCCAGACCAGCCAGTACAACGGCTTCAACGTCAAACCCCGCGAGGCWTTGGTGCAGCTCATCGTGCAGTGTGAGTAAACCTCCATTTCCCCTCGGTTTTATTTCCATCGCGCCGAGAAAAAGTTGATTTATTCCTCCCCTCAACAARCGTTACGGCTGCTCCATATTTGATGTGCTGGCGTTTGTCTCCGCAGCGCCCCGAATCCATGATTTCCATGTAAATAYGGGAGTAAAAATGACATAGGAGTCTCATTTATGGTACAAAAACCCCAACCCGAGCGCGAGGCCATCATTATTTTAGCTCAGCTTTGAATTCCTCGACACGGGAACGAGCGGCTGAGCTGGGAGGACGCGTTGCTGGAAACGCCGAGCGGGCGCTGTGCTCGTTTGTCGTTGCTGTGTCGAACAAGCAGGAAAAAAGCAGAGCAGAGCTGTTCCCTGGGAGCTGATCCGCATCCAGATCTGCTCCACTCTGCTGGGAATGGGCAGGGAGAAGTGGG